GCGGCAAGTGCTATAGGTATACCCAGGTTTGTTTGGGTGTATAGTCATCGTACCCAATAGGACCACAGACTGCCTTTACCGTGCGGCCATGGCACTCGCAGTGTATGACTGGCCCAGGTGGAAACACAAGGCTGCTGACTTTTTACGCGCTCACCATCGAGTGGTGGCTCTGGAATTGACGTGGGGTCAACGAGTCTCTGTGCCGGGAGCCCGCGAGGCGTATGCTGTTGCCACCTATAGTTCCGAGCAAGAAGGGCGCCGTTTAGGTGCGGCACCGTGCGATCAGTGCGGGCGTTGGACACACAGTTGGTGTGAAACATGTTCCATCCGACCGGCCGACGCAATCTGCACTGCATGTGACACGGAAAAACTGCTACGCAAGTCTTGCACTCACGGCCGCGAGCTCGTGTACTCGGAGGCACCGGTACGGTCCGATGACGGGTGGGTGGAATTTAGCGGAGTGAATCTGGAGACTGGCTTTCACAGACTGGATCCTCCAGTTCGCATCAAGGTTGAGGAGATGCCATTCCGAACTGATGGAACCTACGACACCGACACTCTGCTGCGTCATCTCGGACGTCACCCCGACGATGTTACTGGAAAATGTATAGCTGATGTGACAGAGCTCTTGGCGCGCACCGACGGGAACCGCGCGGACATGTAATCGGCGACTGCTGTTGCCGCGTGGTTCCTTGCAATGCGTGGAAGACAGTCGAACCACGAAAGCACGCGCGCCGATGTGGGCCGCGTGAGCAGTCTCCCAGAAAAAAGCAGAGGCGCGTGGGTTGTGGATACTCTTGGCCGCAGGTGTTCGAAACTAGGGCGCGCTAGTGTGAACAATTTCCAGTAACTCATGGCTTTTGTTGCTGATGCGGAGATCGTCTCTCGATTCTTCACCACTCGTCATACACCACTCATCATACACCACTCAACATACACCACTCATCATTCACCACTCGTCATACACCCCTCATCATACAAGACTCATCATACATCACTCATCATACAAGTCCGGAGCGCGTGCGTTTGACTGGAGGACGCGCATGTTGGAGAGAACGTGGACACTCCTATAGGTCAATTTCTTCTTATAGGAAACTTCCGCCGCCGGCTTGCCCGGGAACTACTTGTAGATTCTTAGGTGCGATTTCACACGCACACACCTCAGAGTCAAGCCTGCACCAATAAAGGCCTAGAAGCAACAATCATAGTCTCAAGGCTAGAGCTTGAGGTCTGGAGATCCAGAGGTCGAGGTCTAGAGAGCACACATATCACAGCACAATCATCAGAACACACATCTGAGAGCACGCGTGTGCAGAATGCGATCTAAAGGTCTTGAGATCGAGAGCAGAGGTGCACAAAGTACTGCGCTTGCCACGAAATATGCACTTCGAGGTTCACAAATCAAATTGGATGTTTGTTTTAATGCTTGTTGCTGGGCCACGGTACCACAGAAACTTTCTTGGCGTCAGTCCTTGCCATTTGCGGGCGCCAGCTAATGCCAACTTCGACAATGCATCGATTCAGGTTCAGTTGTTTTGCGGTCCTCAACGTGATGACTGGGGTTTTCTGATGCCTGTCAGCAACACAGATACACAAACTCCAACCGACCGCACTCACCATTTGGTGACTTGTTTAGCACGCGTAGCTGGCAAACATGTTTGACGGTTGGAATTTGTTGGGATTGTCGTCGTTGTGATTTTTTTGCCACCACATTCAAATGTTTGGTGAATTGGTTTTGGTTTTGTTGTAGCTTTACTATCCTAGTGCATCTTTCGGTTTGTTCCGATTGCTTTACACCTATCATTCACAAAGCCGCAACAAATTCCAAAACACATGGGTGTTTTTATTTGGCATCCTCGAACTGGAGGGTTTTTGCTCACTATTCGCAAGGTCATGAGGCAAAATAATCAATCAAATTTGCAATGAACATGTTTTGTTTTTTCAATATTTTCCGTTTTCTTTTGTAAACCTCTAAGCCGTGCGTTACGTGTTTCTCCACACATTGTCAATCACCCACACGTCCGCAGCGTCAAGCAGCCACCGCAAAGGCCAGTCGGCGATCAAAGGTGCGGAGAGGGATCAGGAGATGGCAGTGCAGAACATGTTCTTTGGCGCAGTGATCATGGTTCTCTTCTTCCCATTTTCCCTGCACATGAATTTTTGGGCCCATGCACTCAAGTTTGGTAGCATGATGTTTCTTAATAGTTGATTCATGTCCAGCCCCAGTCCAACAGCCAACTGTGACAGTGGGAAAAAATTGGAATTTATTTGTCCGTGGTGTGGGATGTTTTGTCGAATCTTCTGTGAGGAGGTTTTTTGCACGAAACGTCACCAGAACTCGGGAGTCTTTTGAATGCACTGCAAAGGTTCTTTGACACAGAGAAGATCAAGGCAGGGACACTAACAAAGCACACCTGCAACTGCTCAAAGTTGGTTTTAGGGATGGAGGTGTCCAAAACAGACGGGAAGTGAGCCTGCGGCAGCTGTGCCACCAGCTTCGCCTGTGCCGCACAGGCGATGCTGCGGAAGCTCTTCCAACGCTTGGACGACGACTCCAACGGGAAGCTCACGCTGGCGGACTTCGAGAAACATTTCAATGAGACAGAGGTGCTGTTTGTTTCAGAGGAGCGGTGCCCTCCAACCAGTAGAGATGGCCTCCAACTTAGTAGCTCTTAGGTGCCGTTGGTTTTGCCGTTTTTTTGTTGTGGTCTGTTTCGATGTGTTTTGGGTTCCATCAGCCAGGGTGACCTTCCGACCTGACTCGGTGTGTTCGCCATCTCACCCGACCAGACTCACTACTTTGTTACTACTAGCGTCCTTGTTACTACTAGTAAGGCACTTGTTACTAGAAGCGATGCACTTGTTCCTAGTAGCTTCTTTGTTTTCATTCTAATTCAAATGCGTGTTTTCACGTGTTTTTCTCAGTTCTTTTCTCACGTTCGAGGTGCGCGCCACCTTCGAGACCCTGGAGCTCAAGGCGTCGGACGCGTGGACCTTGTTCCAGTCCATCGACCACGACGAGGACCGGGGGGGACGCGGGGAAGGTTCCGTGTGGTGCAGAAAGCTTCTTGTTACAAATAGTAAGGCACTTGTTACTAGAAGCGATGCACTTGTTCCTAGTAGCTTCTTGTTTCTAATAGTAAAAATGCTCCTAGTAGCGATGGGTGGAGGTCACTCAAAGTCGGTGAGTGCAGAGTGCGTCAGCCGACACTTGGTTTGGCGCACCTGAATTGGAGCTACTCGTGACCATGGTGTACAACGGTGGTTTGATGTGTGATATGTTTGATTTGATGTTGAAGGTTTCTGGCCAGTTGGAGTGGTTTAGCACGACGTGTCCCTCATCCAAACCAAACTTTCTTGAGATGGTAGGGTTGTGTAATGGATATGGAAGAAGGTATAGAAGCATAGCCCTGTCCAAACCCCCCCTTAGTCTTTTTGGCCGAAGCCACCCTCAGTCCAAGCCCTCGGTCGATGCCAGGACTTTGAGATCAACTTGGAGGAGCTCGACGCGTCCGCTCGAGCTTCGGGGTCCCGGACGGTTGGACGGAGGGTTTTTCGCGGTGCGCACCGCGCGTTAGGTCCCCCCACCACGCTGGCGGTGCATTGCCAGGCACGAAAAGTCCAACCACACACCAACAGCGTGAGTGAACTCCAAAGGGACCTGTTGGCCCTCGCTGGTCATGTGGAGCGTTGCAAAAAGAAAGATAAAGGAACGAGAGGTTCTGAATTCCAAAAAGGTCTGTAAAGAAAAATAGCCATGTGTTCTCTCCTCCTCTCCTCCCATCATAGTCCTCTCTCCTCCTCCCAGTTCTCCTCCTCCCAGTCCGACCACGTGTTGAATACGACCGCTTCGCTCGACGCGCGCGGCGGAGACCGCTAGGAGTTCCTCAACGGCTGCGTGGAGCTCCGGGGCCCGGCGAAGGCCGTGGACCTCTTCGCGCTGCGGACGCAGACGGGGAAGGCGAAGAGGGCGGCGAAGCAGGGCGAGTGAAAGACGGGGAGAACGGTCGGAGAGAGAGAGAGAGAAATAGAGTCAGTCTGTAGGTGTGTTGATGGCTGTTGTTTGGGTGTTGTTTGGGTGTATCGGTGTGAAAGGGGTGAGTGGTTTGGGTTGGCTCGGAGGGTGCTGTTTAGTAGCATGGCAGCATGGGAAAGATGTTCGTTTGGGTTTTTCTTCAGGGGTTGGCTGCTGTGGTTTCCCGATCCTGCAGGTGAGGGACACACTGGCAAAGATTTCCCATGAGCTCTCCCTCATCGTGGAGCAGAACTCCGCTCGGCCTTTGCTGGGCACCAGGGTGGCCCTTTGAGCGGCACGTTTCCGCTCCGTGGAGAAGGTCGATGTCCAAAACCGCTTCCACCGGTGGAGCGGCTTCTTCCAAGCGCCCCCGAGAAGCCACATCCGAAGCGGATCGCCGGAGGTGGAGGCGGTGGGTGTCACGAGTGTTTCGAGATGCCCTTCCAGGACTGCACATGTGAGCAGATACCACATAAATCAGATTTTGGCTCACACGTCTTTCCGCGCCGTGTTTTTTCCAAGCGGAGCGCATGAGGAGCGTTCGGCTGGCTGCTTCGAGGGACGAGGGATGGACATGTTGAGTGTTTTGGGTTGATGGCACAAGGAGTGGACTGAGGAGATCCATTTGAGGTTACGGAACAAAACCCACATGCTGGCCCAACGCCTGTCCAGCTCTCTATCCATCAAACCCCTTTTTGGACGCCTTGAGAACGAGGCAGCCAGGTTTTAAGGATTTTAAAGGCTTTGGCATGCCGCACATGCAGCTGAAGATGCCTAAGGCATTCTGAAGCTCGCATCGCAAAAAAGCATGTAAAAGGGTTTCTGCCAAGAAGAGGTGCCTACAACCGCGGGGGTTTTACTTGAACCCACTCCAATCATGGAAATCCCCAACAAAATGCACTACTAGGAACAAGACGCTACTAGGGGCTCCTGGCATCGCTACTAGGAGCAAGGACGCTACGTTATTCCTCTCTGCCCTGAGCAGGCTGCGTGTGTTGGTGCTGGAAAGCGGGCTGGCCACGTTTGAACTTAGGCGCCGGACCACCAAGGTCGAGTGTGGTCGAGTCGACCGGAGATGGCACATGTTGGCACCCAGAAAATCAGATGTTGGCCACCCAGAGGTTGAGTACTTAATTGAGTATCTACACCGTTCTACACCCGATAGCATTGCAATGGCCTCCAACCTACAAGGGATTGCCTCCAAGCTAAGAGCGATGGCCTCCAAGCTAATAGCGATGGTATCAATCCTACTAACAAGGAGGCCATAGTCAGAGGTTGAGATGGAGTGTCATCATCTGAAGGTGAGTGATGAGGAGATGAGTGAGACGCTGCTAGGGCCTTTCCGAATTCCTGGTGTTGAAGCAGCATATTGTGGCACAAGGGGTGAATGCAACAACGCCTCCAGAGGCACCGCAGCTTGGCCCTTGAACCGACCCCGACAGGCGACCCGATTCGCCCGATCTTCGACATCTCGGATCCGCAGGTCGTTGCCGCAGCTATTAGAGCTGGAGGGTCCTCACGAGGCGCACCATCTCCGCGCGCCTGTTGCGGAGATGGGGGAAGACACGAGCGAGCACGGGTGCACGGACACGTGTGTGGGGGAAGGTTCACCCCAGGACCGTTGGATTCAAACAGCCGAAACTGGTGACACAGGAAAAAGACCGGACTGGGTGACGGTTTGAATCATTCTGAAGCTGCGATTGAATCATTCGGGCATATGCAAACTTGTCCTTCACAGATTCACAACCAGACACTTCAACAGACGGCACTTCCTCGCCTCTTGCCCGGAGCCGCTCGCCGAGCCCCGCCAACGCAGTTCAGGTGGCGAGCATCGAAGAGGATCCTCACGTGTCAGACGCAGGCGCGTACGGCGCGCAGACCGCCGCGAATGGAGCGTTGCAGTACAACGCGAAAGGGACCACTTTTGGGGGTGCAGCAAAAGGGACTGCGTCGCAACCCAATGTGTTTTGTAAGGGTGCAGACCCTCTCACAAACAATCATGGAAGCTGAGCAGAATTCTGCAACTGTGGAGGAGGATTGTTTTTGACCTATGTTCCATAATGGTTGGAGGAAGGGTAAAAAAACAACGCTTCCAAGAATAACATTTGCATGTTTAAGCATTGAACTCTTCCGGCTACTTTGGCCTCATGCACATTCCAGAACCACTTGGTTAATCCATGACAATGGCAACAATTTCTTGATCACACATGCAATATCATGCAATCCTCATATTTCCCAGGAGGTGATCTATGATATTTTTCAGGGTGCCTTTCATGTTGAAAGGCACAGTTAAGGTCATCCGCGGATGAGTGTCGCAATGAAAGAACCCAATTTCGTAACGAGTGGATTGCCTTTCTTTTGCGAGAAAAGGGCGCCCTCCACCACAATCGCTTTCTAGGTTGGAGGTGATCGCTTCTAGGTAGGGGGGGGAGAGTGGTCTTTTCCACTTTCGCTTCTCAGCTCTGCAGGTGCTCGGCTCGTGCGGCATGCCTTGGGCGAGCACTTGTCGCACGTCAGGCGAGCCCGGAAGGAACACGGACGGAGCATTCTCCCAAGAAAGACCACCCCAAAAAACACACCTCACGGCTCCTCGCATTTTGTTTGACCTGCGGTAGGCACCTACCGCTGGTGACGGGAGAGGAGACCACGCTACTGGAGCTGTTGCAGTCGCTCCGCGAGGCACTCCTGTCGCGGTGAACCGGGGAGGTCGATCAGAACGTGGGAAAAACTGGGTCGAAAGGTTCCTCCGGATCTTTCTGTTTGGGTGTGTTTTGGTAAGTGGCTCTTTTCGGGTGCCTTTGGAGTCTCCTTTTGGTGATGGATCGAAGGACCAAAAGGAGAGAGGAGCTACTACTAGCGATGCACCTTGTTACTAGTAGCGGTGCACCCACCGACCATTTGGGACCGAGTCGTCGGCAGCGCCAGGGCTACGATCTCCCCTCCTTTGACTTGGTCGTTCTTGGAGGCGAGACGCGTGGGTCGTGGGCGAGACGCCACGGAAATCTCGTGTCCGAAAGAGGGTCTTGGCAGGTGTAGCCGTGGAATGCCGTGGAGTCGGAGTGATCCGAAAATGTTCACCCTTCTTTATCCCAGAATCCGGACTCTCAAGCTGGTGCCAGGGCGAAATGTGCAGGGCTGCGTGCTAGAAGTGCAGGAGAGCCGGATGGGTGAAGAGCCGGATGGTTTGCATGGTCCACATGGGACGAGAACAGCCTGGTCAGCCTTGTCATGAAAAGGATTGAAAAATTCGCGGATGAAACACTCGTCAGCTGATCCCACCGCTTGAGTCAGATCCCGCTGATCCCGCTTCACATCGCTAGGATCTCCTAAAGAGTCAAGCGCTCCGCCCACGTGGGGTGGTGGGAAACTCAAGGGTTTGTCCCTCCTTGGGAGAGGCTGGCTCCTCTGAATTTTTACGTGAGGGCATGTTAAGAATTCGTCAGTGGTTCTTTATTGCTCTCTTAGGTTCCTGCTTTTTGCGACGAATTTGGGGAGATTCTGGGAGAATGCCCACATGTGCCAAGGTCTTGGCAATCTTTGATGATGATGCTGCCCAAATGCGCCCCCATGGGATGAGTGGGATCGCTGATCTGCTGTTTTGGGGGTCTGGATCGTCCATTTTGTCATGCACAGAAACCAGAACACAACCAGAATGCAGCTGTGCTTTGCAGAATGGTAAGTCACATCGTGCGAGCAAGCACTATAGGACCTATAGGACTGTAAACTGAATGGCTATAGGACTATTAACTTCTCTTGTTACTCTTGCTTCAGTAGCAAGGGACGCAATTAGGGGCTCCTGGCATCGCTACTAGGAGCAAGAAGCTACTACGGGCTCCTGGCCTTACTACTAGGAGCAAGAAGCTACTAGCAACAAGGTGCATCATGCTTCAGCCCTTGAGGAGATCATTCGCTTGGCACGAGATCGTTTTCGAGGTACTTGCATGAGATCGGGCCGGAGTTCGACTCAGTGGCGGGAGTAGACGCCAAACGCCAGGTCAAACGCCCAACAGGGAAAATCACAGGAGTAGTTCCAAGTTGGTGGTTCAAGTTGGTGCGTGTTGAAAGGGATAGAAGGGCACCAGAAGGCATCCTGTTCCTAGCAGGTTGGAGGCCATCGCTACTAGGTTGGAGGGCACCACAAGGCATACTGTTCCTACTAGCGTGGCACTTGTTACTAGTAGTAACAAGAAGCTATTAGAATTAAATTAGATTTAAGTTAAAATAAAAGCTTCTTGTTACTACTAGTAAGGCACCTGTTACTACTAGCGTGGCACTTGTTACTGGAACCGCATTCTGTCTTCACCCCTCTTTGCTCCCAACCGCAGGTCACCGACGACCCAGATGGAGCCACCACGGTGATGTCCGTTTGGCAACGGGAAAGGAAGGAACTTTGAGTCCAAAAAAGGCGCCGCATCGAAAGCATGTTGTTTAACATTCGTGTCCCAAAAAGTTGGGCAAACCTTGGGCAAAAAGTTGGTCCACCCAGTCCTGAGAGATTCTGGTCATATTTCACCGCCGCTGGCGTGTGCCGCCAAAACGCATCAGCAAGTGCTGGAGTTTGTTGTAAACTGTGGTTAGTGTAAACCGGTTTGGAGTCAACGGTGGTTGGTGAAAACCATGATTTGTAAACGTAGGCTACGAGCAAACCCAATGGAAACCTGTCGGTGAAGGGATGCGATGAAAGGGTGCACCCCACCAAGGGTGAAAGAAAACAGATGAGAACGTGGAAAGGTCAAGACAAAAGCCCCCAGTAGCGTCCTTGCTCCTAGTAGCGATGCCCTTTGCTCCTAGTAGCTTCTTGCTCCTAGTAGCGATGCCAGGAGCCCCTAGTAGCGTCCTTGTTCCTACGTAGTAAAGCCAAGAAAGCAGATGATCAACCACGACATGTGGTGCGGTGGAGGGGGGAGAAGGGAGGAGTGGACGGGATTCGGACCAAAGCGGGCGGAGGAGCAATCTAACGTCAACCACGATTAACGTAAGTAACCATGTAAGCTTGGCTCAAGTCATCACAAAAGCTACAAGGAGCAAAGGGCATCGCTACTAGGAGCAAGGATGCTACTAGGGGCTCCTGGCATTGCTACTAGGAGCATTCTTGCTACTAACAAGAAGCTAAACCAAAAAAGGCAAGGGCTTGCCCGCTTCAGTGCTTTCACGGGAGCGGCAAGCCAAGCATGTCTTCGTCCACTGTAATTAATCTTAAAAAAAAAATAAACATGTGACTTGGCGGAGCGCCCGTGCCACCTGATGCAATGTCATGCTTCTCGGCTCAAGCTCCCTTAGTGTTTGTGGTCTTCCAGATGCTTCCATGTGGCCGGGACGCTTGGAGTGGACGGGAGTAGGGGTGAACCCCAACGAGAAGGGACACTGGGTTCGCCTGATGGCCATGGGTTTGTATGCTCCGATCGGAGCACCCGACCTTTGACTTGGTCCCTCGTTGTTGACAGGTTTGGTCATGCCCTGCTGCTGTTGATCCCATTGCTCTCGCAGGTGGGCCAGGGGGGTGGCAATGGGAGAGGCAAACTGGATGCCCCATGGCTTCATGTGGTATTTGCTCCTAGTAGCGATGCCAGGAGCCCCTAGTAGCGTCCTTGTCCCTAGTAGCGATGCCCTTTGCTCCTAGTAGCTTCTTGTTACCAAGTAGTCAGTAGTATTGTGGTATTGAGAAAGGATGAGCAAGAAAGCCATCGTTGTTTTCGTCAGACAAGCGTGGGCAGCCATGAGTTCAGGGAATTTGTGATAGGATTTGTGTTGGTCGAATCCAAAACACGTATAGCATGCCCGTGCACCCGACCATGTAGTCAGCAACATAGTGAAGTTGGATTGGAACTCAATGTTTCCACCTTAGCTCAAAACCTTGCCGATGGTAGGTTGACATCCTGTATGGATGAATTTGTTCGTTTGACCCAGAGTCAACCGCCATCATCCCGTCGTGACCCCACATCCATTTTTGAGTTGCCCATCGCTAGTAGGTTGGAGGCCGTCGCTCTCAGGTTCGAAGCCATCTCTAGTGGGTTGGAGGCCATCGCTGGTAGAATAGAGGCCTCCACCCAGTGTTCTTGTTCTCGTTTAGGTCCATTTTTCGGCTCCGTGAATCGCCCAGGGCGCTCGTGATGAAGAAGACTATGAAGAGCTTCGAGGTGGAACCAACGACCCGTGGTCCACGGACGCTTCTGGGGCGCGTTTTCATGTTAGAGTCGGTCGATTTGGGCCAGTTGGGCCAAATTCGACCAAATGAGTTCTTACATATTCTTACCTGTTCTATGTCCTGTTCGATCTTCATGTGTGTTTTGTTCAGTGAAGTTGTTCGTTGTTCTTTGCAGGATATGAAAGGATTGAAAGCCTATTCAGGTGGTTCAGAAGGAGAATCCTTTCGGTTGATGTCATCCACTGGCAAAAAAAAACCTGGACCGCCAGGGCGTTTGAGTGAAGCTCAAGGAGGAGGCTCACGAGTCGATCGGGTTCACGAGAGCTGCCAAGCGTTCCCAGATGCCCCTTCCGGGCCTGTGGTCGTTTTCACGGACCAATTCGCCCAAACTCGGAGTCAACATAAACGAAATTAGCAGTCGACTAGTGGCGTCCTTGCTCCTAGTAGAGATGCCAGGAGCCCCTAGTAGCTTCTTGCTCCTAGTAAGCATTGGGGTCAGAAGTTGCTTGCCCTACAGTATCCAGTCGATCTCGAAGCTTGAAGGTTCAGATGACGATGACGAAGAAAGTGCATTGCTCAGCAGCGCCATTTGTGGAAGGTGCTCGGTTGTACGTGGCGGCCATGAAAAGGTTTGGTTGCAACAGAAGATGTTTGTCCACCCGTCACGAAATGTAGCCTCAGCTACCTGAATTCTCCCTTTCTTTGTCAAAAAGTCAACAATATGTTTTCTGCGGAGCGTGACATTTGTCTCCGACTTAGGGGCTGTAAGGAAAGACTATGAACAGGAAGGAAGGGCAACTCCCCCTTGTCCAGTGTGTTTGCAGGTTGATGCGTCCTCTTCCTGATCCTTATCCTGATCCATCCTCATTGTTAATCCCATCCTCGTCTTCATCCTTCACTTTTAGGAGACTGCCACGAATATTTATCCATTTCCCGTGCTACCTTTCATTCCCCTCCTATGTCAAGTTTATAGAGGGTTGGTTGCACTAGAAATCTACATCGGACAAGTCAACACGTTTGAGAAACACTGTGAAGAGCACTCGCTGTCCCTAGTGGCAAGCTTGTTTTTCTTCCACTAGGATTTGAGTCTTGCGAAGCTCTTGGTTACCTCTTTGCAGTCTTTGCAGGGATCACTTTGACTTTCAGCTTGGTAGTGGAGGCTTATGTGGGGGTTGGTCCAGTTGATGCATGACCCAGCTTGAGGTTTGCACAGTAGCTGGGCGCCTCAGAAGAGTACTGCTGGGCTGCTATCAGCCCGTGGGCCTTAAGTAGGACAGTAACAAGGAAAAGCTGGTCCAAAGACGTGGTATTTGGGATGCTTTCGATCTAGGACGACTCGGGTCACGGTGGGTCCCAGTAACATATGTTTTTCACATAGGCCTTTACCAAGCATCATCCATATACCCAAGGTCAAAACAAGGCAGCTAAGGGACTAGCACAACCGAGACCACATTCCACCACCTGTGAGAGCACACGGTCTCAACCAACCAACAACAACCAAACGAATGGCCGAGTATAGTCCTTTTTTCCTTTCTTTCTGTCGAATAGTGATGGCCTCCAAACCAAAATCGAATCCAAACGACGCACGCTGCACCACCGCGGCGTGCGCATCGGCCGGTGTCGTGTGAGGCTTAGGCTTCGCCCAAGAGACCCACCGGCACAGGCACCACCGAGGTGTGCGGTGCTGGTTTCGAGTTTTGCCGTGGTTTTCGCTACGAACGGAGCAAAGTGCCTTACTAGTAGTAACAAGTGCCTTACTACTAGGAACAAGAAGCTACTAGGAACAAAGGGCATCGCTACTAGGAGCAAAGACGCTACTAGGGGCTCCTGGCCTTACTACTAGGAACAAGAAACAAGAAGCTAGTAGAAACAATAAATTAGAATTAAGTAAGTGTAGTTAAAAGCAAAGGTCTTCAGTGAAGATCATCCGAACATCTGTCGACGGGCTGCACCTTTGCTTCACATGTGGAGGGGAGAGCGGGGAATCGGTTGAATGAGCACCAAGGGTGTTTGTTCCAAGAAGTATTTTGTGTGACATTCAGGACCTCAAGAACGCAGTCTTGCTCTAACCTTAGTGTTGGTCGATGCCTTTTGGAACCGTTCTAGCAGAAAGCATGCTTGATCATGCTAGTCCAGGCCGACCTTCCAGCTGTTGAACGTTCAGATGCAATCCATACAAGAAGCTATTAGTAACAAGTGCATCGCTAGTAGTAACAGGTGCCTTACTAGTAGTAACAAGGACGCTACTAGGGGCTCCTGGGCATTCATATCCATTCGCGTCCTGCGCAAGGACGCCGGCTGTCGCTGCACAATGGAAGTGAGGAGGTGACCGAAGAGCAAGGCGGCGCCTCATGGGGGGATGGACGAGCGCAGAGCCGTTTTGGGAAGAAAGTAAGGCCCAGGAGCCCCGTTCGTAGCTTCTTGTTACTACTAGCGATGCACTTGTTACTAATAGCTTCTTGTTCCTGGCTTTATTCTTACTATAGTAGCGTCTGCTCCTAGTAGCGATGCCCTTTGTTCCTAGTGGCTTCTTGCTCCTAGTTGGTCCACCCAGCTTTTGAAGTTTGCAACTGCAACTGGCTGTTGCTGAGGCTCACCCAAACAACAAAAAACACTAAGACAGCTCGAAGCGGCAAGGTCAAGCGCCAAGCGAGGACGGGACGACTCGGGCGCCGCGCCAACGGCGTCTCTCCGTTCGTGGAGCGCCGAGTCAGCAGTCGAGTCGAGTCTGAGCGACCGAGCTGGGCTCTAAGGGATCCACCGTGTGAAACGATCAAAGCACGGACGATGGACCAGGAGGGAATCCAGAATCGTTGGCCCATGTTTGTTGCTTGATTCTCTTGCAAACAATTGGCTTTGGCAAAAAGAAAGAAAGCATATGGTTGCTTCTCAATTGAAAGACAACAAACACAGGACGACACTGAGTGAGACTTAGGCACTTAAACCTTGTTCGCCATGCAAATCACCATCCGGTCGCTGAATGGCGAGAGTGCAGAGCTTGATGTTGAGCCCAATACCACCATCCTGGGCCTTCGACGCTTTGTGGAAGAGGCTCTGAAGATCCCGGCCGCCGAGCAGCGACTCATCTACGCTGGCACCCAGCTGGAGGAGCGCGTGACCCCCGCGTGGCGACAGCGCCGGAGCTCGGGAGCTCTGTCAGCGGCACTGGGTTTGGCCTCGCTGCCCGATGGTGCCGAGCTCACCTTGGAGCACTACGGGATCCAGAAGGGCTCCGTGTTGAACGTGGTGCGGAAAGTCTCCGTGCCCTCCAGCGCCTGTGGGGAGGAGCTTCCAGAGGGAACTTCTTGTGCTCAAGACGAGCGACAGCGCCCCAGCTTGGCTCAATTGGAAGAGCTCAACGACTTGGAGCTCCTGGTGCTGCTCCGGCCCTTGCTCCGCCAGCGCCCCACCCTTCGCGCGGCCCTCCTCGCCGAGGCCCCGGGCGGAGAAGGTCGTCTGGCGCCGAAGCCACCGGCCGCGCCCGCGGCGCACGCGGAGCCTCCCTGGTGGCCGGGGGAGCGGTGCTTGGTGTGGTCGAACAGCGCGCAGCGCTGGTGCAGCGGCTCGGTGCTGGCCGTGGCGTCGGAGGCAACGGAGAAGATTCCCAGTGGATCCGTGGAGGTCTCCTTCGAGCTGGGCCGCAAGTGGATCGCGCCCGCGGACTTGGCCAAAGCGCTGAGACGCTGAGAAGGGTTGCGGGAACAAAAGGGAACGAAGCAAAGGGAGTTGGGAAGACTCAGGTTTTGTTGGATCGTTGGAGTCTTCACATTTTGGGAATCAGGATCAGACATGTTGGACCATTGATTAATTGATTTCTTATATCTTGCTTGCATATGGATTGCCAATGATTGTCGCAGTTGTCACTGGACTACAGGCTCATCTCAAAAAGGCCAACAGCCACCACAGCGTTTGAGGGTGTCTCCTCCTGACAGACCCATTTGGACGTTTTGAGGTGTGTGGACACATGTGGACACTGTCTAGGTCAGTGACAGTCCACATCCCTCACATCACGCGCCATTCTGCAGGAACACCTCAAGATCCAAACTGAGGCGAAGAAGGACTGAAGATGTTTGGGTGACAACAAAAACATTGGGCTTGGTCAGTTGGGTGGTTTGTCGAGAAAGGATGGCAAGGAGGTAAGGTCTTATAGGCACTTCTAGAGGAGCGAATCTATCTTCGAGTCTTGTGTCCTCCTTGAGTCTTGTGGTCTCCTGCTTGCTGGTGGCAGTCTATTTTTTCATGAAGGGGTCATTCTGTTCCATCAAGGATTGCACCCGCAGAGGGCTTGAATGCCTTGTTGGCACGGTTGTTGTTGGTGGTGGTCGGGGTCATGGTCATCATCGTTGTCGTTGTGGTTGTGCTTGTGGTTGTGGTGGTTGTTGTGATTGTGGTTGCAATTGCAGGTGCAGTTGCGGTTGTTGTTGTTGCTGTTGTTAGAGACAAAAACAGCTGCCCAGCATAGTTGTCACATGTTGCAAGTCAGGGATTTCAAAGGGACACTGTTAGGGATAGGGTCGAAGGTTTGGAGAGATGTTAGTAGCTGGACTTCTTGTCGTTGTGGTACTCAAGTCTTGGTTGGTATGTTTCTTGCTTTTTGATGTTTTTTGGTGTGTTGTTCTGGAGGGGGGGG